TTTTAAATACTGATATTTTTTGTTTCTCTTAAAACCTGTCAATCGACGGTAGAAAGTATTTTGTCGGAGTCTGGAATCCTAAAATCTTCTGTTAACCAAGATCCAAGATGTTGCAATTTGTATGGCACCGATGAGACTAAATAAGGACAAAACATGAATATTGTCCAAATACAACTATGGTGGAATAGCTGTTCTCTTAACAGACTACAAACACTTTTTAATGTGAAACTTCCCTAATTTAGAGAGTAGTAGAGAAATTCCACCCCAAAGCTCCAGCTTTGTATACGGATTTTACCTCAAACATTCAAACCAATCATTCACATAAAATTTCTCTAGAGAGAGAGAGAGAGCTGACACATGCAGAATTCAATAAGGAAAATACAAAATACATTCTCAAAAACAACCTTTTATACTAAGTGACATATAAATCCGAACACCCAGTTTAAATGGTTTTATTTTAATAAAATTTTGTATAAGTACTTAATGAAGCATAATAAGTAAATGATAAAAATTTCAAAATGATTGCACTGCTTCAAAGCCCTTTGACCTTTTATAATGTGTGGATGCACCCTGATGTGCTACGCATTCTCCAACGCGCCTAGGCATGCTTCTGATCAGGTGGTCAATGTCCTCCTGTGGTATCTCATTCCAGGCAACCACCAACTCCTCTCGAAGTGCTTCTAGAGTCTGAGGAGGACGTTGCAAATTGAGCAATCTCCTACCCATCATATCCCACACGTGCTCAATTGGGGATAAGTCGGGAGATCTTGGTGGCCATGGTAACAATGTGACATCGTCATGTTGAAAGAAGTCTATTGTGACTCTTGCGACATGTGGTCGGGCATTATCTTGTTGGAAAGTTGGATCTGCCAGGGTGTCAAGATAGGGTAAAAGATGGGGTTCTAGAACTTCGTGAATATAACGCTGCGCGTTCATGTTACCTCTGATGAAGATTAAAGGTGACCTGGAACCATAACTCCAACAGTGTGATGAACATGTCTTTCAACAAAAAACTGTGGATTCCTCCTTTCACCACGTCGCCTTCTAACCCTGGCACGACCATCGTGCATGCCTAAACAAAATCGAGACTCGTCACTAAAGACAATACTGTTCCATTCCTGATCCCAGAGTGACCGTTGTCTGCACCACTCAAGGCGATTACGTCGGTGTTCTCGAGTTAAAGGGAGGACCCAGTGTGGCCGGTATGAAAACAAGCCAAAACTTCTCATTCGTCGGTAAACACTTCGCATGCCAATAGGTCTTCCGTGTTCTGGAAACCATTCATTTGCAATGGACCTGTTAGTGGAGAAACGCTCCCGTAAGGCCAATAATCTTAGGCGGCGATCTTCACGGTCTGTTGTTCTACGGCGGCGTCCAGTGCCCCTTGCTCTTTGCGTACGGCCTTCTCGAAGCCATGCCTGACAACACCTAACCACAGCGTCTACACTTCTTTGCACTCTAACTGCAATTGCCCGAAAAGAAAGTCCAGCTTCCCGAAGTCCCACTGTACGGCCCCTATCAAACTCACTAAGTTGACGAAATCGTACAGGTCTCCATACCAATACCATATGTCACTTAGTATATTTCACTGTTAATAAAATGGCTACAAAGAATTAAAAAATAATTTTATTGGTCATATTTAAATGATAATTAAGCTCACTCATCTCAAGTTTTCCATCCTGCTATCAAAACGTAACTATCGAAATTATGAATCGCCATTCTGCTGTGGCAGCCATGTTGGATTTAGAATGACGTCACATCACTTATTGTGTTTCTGTCATCAAGCCCTTTCGTTTGGTACCCATATTTTAGCATTGTAGCATTCGCCATATTCGATTTAAAATGACCGCGGTACAAAATTTCAGCTCAACTGGTTAATGTTGAATGGAGAAGATACTAACAAATAGGTAAAGTTAAACAAAAGCTTGTAATGTCAACAAAGAGCTGCATTTTTTTATAAGAACGTACTCTGTATATTATTCATCCAAATCTTCAGACAATTTGTTCCTAATGCATTAGTGTATGTGAATCACATCGTTCAACTAATAGTTGCAAATGCATACAAAAAATATGTTAATCAGTAGTATGCAATTTGAAAATCTACATAAGCATTTGCACACATTGAATGGGTGTCGACACGATGCGGCAATTTGATTACACGGAAAATCGGACAGTTTCAATAACAGTTCACCTATAATGTTTTGGTATCTTGGTAGTATTCATGAAACCTTCATTAAATGACGTATGTCATTGTCACTTTTACTCCTCCACAATACGGCATAATTAAAATGGCAATACGACGTTTCGTTTCTTGTCATCCAGCTTCAATTTTATTTTTCTTATGGATATTGGATTTTTGCACAGATGAATAGAGCTTTTAATTGTGATTCTTAGGTAGGCTTGTTGTACGGTTATATCGTCATTAAATATTTTGAAATTGTAAAGTTCAGTTACAGTTACAAATAAAAGTTATGTTTTTAATTATTACAGCAGACGCTCGATAACGTAAACACGGGATAATTGAAAAGTTGCGCTAATGTAAACACAAACTTCGTTAACTCTCGGCGCACGGAAACAGCTCGACGGTAAAATGCTGAAGCCTCGATGATTTATGTCGGGCGTCGGCGAGTCCCCGATTTATGATGTAGAGTGTAGGGGATTCACCTCTGCGATAAAATACGACAAACTCGGTCAGTCGTATGATCGTTTAGGATACGTTTATACGTACGTATGTATTTCATTTTTGATTTTAAGTGAATACATTGCACGCGTTAATATATTTTACGACTATGACATCCACATCCCATAAAAGAAAGTGTTTAAAGTTGAGTGAGAAAGTGAAAATCATAGACGAAGTTGCACTAGGTGCAGGAGTGACACAGTTAGCAAAAAAATATGGAGTATCGAAAGCAACAATCTGTAAAATTAAGCGTATGAAAACTCAAATTTTACAAACAACGTGCAATACATTTGGAGGCCCGGGAAAAAGAAAAACTTTAAAAAATGCGAAGGCACCTAAAATGGAAAATTCCATGTATAAGTGGTTTTTAAAACAACGGGAAAATCATGTCCCAGTTAGTGGCGAAGTACTTAAACAGAGAGCGAGACTGTTAAATGAAAAACTGAAAGAAACTGAAAATTTCGTAGCTAGTATTGGCTGGCTACGATTCAAAACAAGATATGGAATTCGACTGCTGTCTATATCTGGTGAAAAATTATCAGCACAACCACAATTAGTGCAACCATTCAAAGAAAAATTGATGAAAACAATTACCGAGCTAGATTTAAGAATGGAACAAATTTACAACGCAGATGAAAGTGGCCTTTATTGGAAAATGTTACCATACAAAACCTATGCTGCATCATTTGAAAAATCTGCCCCGGGAAGAAAGTCGGAGAAACAACGAATAATGTTTCTAACCTGCACTAATGCTAATGATCCACACAAAATAAAGCCACTGGTAATTGGGAGAGCAAAAAATCCGCGCTCATTTAAAAATGTCAATATCCCTGTTGATTATGACTGTTCAAAAATCGCTTGGATGACTAGCAGTATATTCCTGAAATGGTTCCACAGGTGCTTTGTCCCTCAGGTATGACAATCAATTATCACAAATGCTCTATTCATAATTTGAAGATGTGTTTTCAATTTGTAGGTAAAAGGTTTCCTAAAACAACAGCAGCTTCCAATAAAAGCGTTGTTACTATTGGATAATGCACCAAGTCATCCTCCCGAGCAACAACTGAGGAGCAGGGATGGGTCAATTTTCGTCATGTACGCCCAACGTAACACCGTTAATTCAACCGATGGACCAGAATATAATAAGACTCACCAAACTATACTATAGGAAGTTTCTACTTTACTTTTCTTATCAAAGAATCCTGAAAACTTATCTGAGGCTTTAAAAAAAGTAACATTACGAGAAGCTGTTTCAGATTTACATATGGCCTGGAATGAACTTTACCAGCAAACTATTCAAAAATGTTGGAACAATCTCTTTTGTACCAATAATGAAGATGATGAAGAAGACGATGTCCCCTTAAGCGTAATTAGAGAACGTTTGCTATCCAATAATGATAATGTTATTAGTGTGTCATTGGATGTTGTTGATTTATTGAAAACAGTGAATCCCAACATTGTTTGTACTATTGCTGATATTAATTTATGGAACGAAGATAAGCAGACGAATGATGCTGATAAGGAGGACGATATGGACAGTGAGGATGATGATACCATTGAAGTCAGAAGTGTAGTGACCGACGCGCAAGCTATACAAGTTTTTAACCAAGCTTTAGATTGGGCTGAAAGAAAAGAAGTTTCATACACGGATATTTTTGTTCTTCGTAAATTACGGGCGCAGGCATTGGAAGACAATGCTAAGCGCAAATTTACGCAGACAAAAATTGTTAATTATTTTTCTTCTAATTAAAAAAATACTTATCGCTGTTAGAATATTTATTTTGTTATAAATAGTATGTATTAAACGTTTCTTTTAATAAATCAAATATTATATAAATCGCGTTCGCAAATGTAAACATTTTGATAATGTGAACCACACTTGGATTAAATTAGTTTACATTATCGAGCGTCTGCTGTATACTCACATCAAATCTTAAGCAGTTCTAAAGTTCAGTTACAGTTATAAAAGAATATGTTTAAATTGTAAGGTTCGGTTGCAACTATAAAAAAAGTTACTAGATGGGTTTTTTTAATATTGCGGTTACTTACCTGTGATAACAATGCTAAGGTATGGTTAAGCTATGTTTGAGAAATTTATTGGTGAAATAAATAATTTGAAGATGATGACATTATATTTTTTTTAAAAATACCCGTCTAAACCTGCTTGTGTCGTTTACACCTAGTTTTAGCCACTAAGGATTGGCTACGCCTATTCCTAACCGGCTATGCCTAGCTATCACCGCATTTCGGATTTTAGACGTAACATATATTTATTACTACTTTATCTTTAAAAATAGTAATAAACAACTTTTGTTTCAAGTTCTCCGGCCATTGGTATGAAATAGAAAGGTCCTTCTACCTGATGGAGCTCGTCAGGAGTTGCATCACTATGGACATTACCGAATTGCCATATGGAAAACTGGGAGTGTCTATAAAAGCAAAGAGCACATGGTAAATACCTCAATATTAAACTATTAAAGTCTAATTTTAGTATAAAGCCGCTGAAATCGAAATGACAGAAATTCGAGCAACGAGAAGACGTTTTTGACATCATGGATCTTTTTTTACACCGAAGCGGAACAGTGTCGGTACCAAGATCGATCCCTGAGGAACACCAGCGTTGACTTTTCCCGTCAATTGCGATGGATATCTTGCGGCCAGAGAGTGACTTAGCGACTCATCTGCAAAGCTCCTCTGGCAGGCCATAAGAGGACAGGATGCCACACCTGATCAAACGCTTTCGTGATATCAAAAGCAACGACATGGGCCTCACTATAAGACTGGATGAGCTTACTCCACAAATGCGTGACGTAAGCTAGGGGGTCCCTTGTGGAAACATCAAATTCATGAGACCCGTTTCTACAAAGACGCTTTCTCATTGATCCAATTTGAGCCTTTGATTTCAAGCAGTCACTAGTAAAATCGGGCCTTAAAGATGTTGAAGCGGAAACTAACCGCCATTATTTTTAGGACCGGAAGATTTTCATTCAGCGAAGGTATTGCGACGCCAACGAAAAAGGATCCGAGCGTGGTTATGTACAAGGTGAACAACAAGTTGCCGAAGGTAGTTAATAAATACGTACCCAGACTGGTCAACTACTATCTACCAGGTTCAGGATACTATCAGGTGCTGAGAACGGACTATGTTAACTATGCGATCCTATATTCTTGCAACGATTACGGTATCGTACACTCAGGTAATATGCGTCAAATTTACACTAGCTGCATCATTTAATTATGAATATAATTTTGTTATACAGGGTGATCCAAAGAAACACGCAACATCTTATTTTTGGATCACCGAGTATTGTACGACGTTAGATGAAAAGACGTCCCCCTAGAAATCAAAATTGACTTGCCGAGCGTTTTTCCCAAAATATACCAGGAGAGTGACAAAAACGTTTTCATTGGCCCACCCCGTATGAACGATTCCATGCCCCCAAATGATTCCAATTTTATGTTCTTAGATGTATATTAAACTTAAATAAATGAGGATGCCTATGCGTTTTCAGATTTGATCTGGATCTGGGGTAGACTGAAAGAAATGGACGCTGAAATGAGATCTGACATTTACGGAATATTAGCAGAATATCGCTTGGACTCTGAGAGGCTCACCCTATCGAAGAATGCTAACTGTACTGATGATGACGAGTGATGCAGATTTGATCTTAGGCTAGGCCAGGCATCGCTGGCAATGCATTTGTAATATTTCCATTTAATTCGATAACCTTTTTTCACATTGTGCCTTTTATGTTTTATTGATACAAATCGCTAGAAAAACAAATCGCCAACTTGAATACATGTAATGAATGGACTGCAAGTGCTCTTTCTAAAAAATTTAAAAAAGTTAATTAGTTTCGTGCAGGTTTGTATGCTATTGACCAATATCTCCTGTATACAAATAGTCTGATTCTATTTTAATCGATACATTTTATGAAAAACTATTGATTATACGTACGTAAATAAAATATAAGAATATGAGAGCATCTTTGTATAAACGTAGCCAAGCTTCTTTGCATGCTGCCTGTCACGAGACTAAAATTACATAACGCAAAGGTAACTCTATGAATGACTTCTTAGGAGTTTGGTTGTTCGAAATTTTTTGTTACGTTTGCATATTTTAGTAAAAAAAATCCTCGCAAAACGTGATTTGTAGTTGGATATGAATACTGTCAACTTTGCTACAGTGTCAAAAATCAAACAAATATTTGATCCTTTCCGGTACGCATCTTCTTTTAAATCACACTTGTTCTGATTCCTATACAGGGTGACTTTGAAGTTGAGTCATTAATTTTCAGATAATGATTGTAGAAGGAAGATAAACCAAAATATGTGTGTAAAAATAAAAAAAAAAAAATGTTACCTTGTTTTATAAAGTATCCTCCCGACAAGTATTTCAGTGCGGACCTGCATTTGATCGTGCGGTCTTGGAGCACCGGCATGCCGTCCCCTGTGAGGTCTTAAGTCACCTGATTCACGAGCCCTTTGTACTACATTAACAAAGGCACGAGGGGTTGGTTGCACTCGATTGGAAAACCGATCCGCATAAATCCGTGATGCCGCGTAAATAAGAATCATGTCCACAAGTTCAGCATTTTCGTAAACATGTGCCAGTTTTGATTTCGTTTGAGCCACGCAACAGACACCACTATTCACTCACGCGTTACCGACTGACACTGACTGTATACAACTGAATAAAATAATTGTAAAAACATCGTTCCAAATTCTTTCGCTTTTTTGTTTCCGATGCGATGAACCGATAAGGCGGATTATATCCGTTGTTGCCAAACACGAGCACATAATATTATTATTGAGACAGGGCGGTACTCAAACTTCCAAAGGGCTATAACTTTGTTACTTTAATTTTACCAGAAAAATGGTAAAGGAAAAAAACATTTCTTTTGATCAGATCTACTCACTGTTAAAATAAATGACTCAACTTCGAAGTCACCCTGTATATCTACTGATATGCCATGCTATATACGTATTTGCTTGGTGCAACTCTTCTGTCAATGACATGTTACATAACTTGACACGTTCTCTTCTCTACATTTTTTTTTTGTTGGTGGGTCAGTTTCGAAAAAATATCTTTGGGTACGCCGTGTTGGTCTGCTTGTCTTTTATGTATAAATCAAGTTCAAATTTTCTCATGCACCTGTTTTATTTTCGAATTTTTATTTGATGTCATTCTTATTCATTTTAAAATCGTGGAACATATGTCTGCCTAAAAAAGAAATAACAATTTAATTTATATAAAATAAAAATATGTTCGAAACTTTTTCATTTCATCTTTGTTACACCCTCAGTACCGCCACTGATCGCTTCGTGATATGCTGCCATCTGTTGGTGAGCAACTCAATCGAACACGATCTCGCGTAGATTTCCTATAACTGTTATAGACAGCGTAGTCTATAGTTAAACTTTGTACCGCTAGATGACACAATGAGAATAGTAAAACGTGTTGAGTTACAAGGGGCAAATGATATATTCCTTCAAAGCTTATGGTACAAACAGCCGCGGATCCAGGATCACGTCTTACAGGCCAAGCAGTGTAGGCGGTATTGTCAAGTCATTTGTACTAATTACAAAGTAATTAGGAGGAAACATAATTAACAGCAGTGTTAGAACATAATTCACATTTAATTTAATCTTTCAAAGAAAGAACAATGTGGTCTCCCTTCTTTCCCCTTTCCTCATTTTTTCCTGCAAGTCAAAGGTCTTGTAGGGGTAAAGACATCGTTGCCCCTTCCATGGATCCGCCAAATAGTACAAACATTAGCATCATCATCAGTTCATTTAAAGAAAATTTTCAGGTACAAATCTTTTTTTAACCATACTGGAAATCACTTACGCGAATTTGGCAGGATCCTCAAATGGTCACTTGGACACAACTTGTTGAAAGCAGTGGGGTGAATCCTCTTACAGACCAGCTGGCAACGCCAACGTCATTCGTAATCAACTAGTTACCCGGGGACACCCATGAATCCTAGCTATAAACTGACATCGAATTCGGAATAAACGAATCTGATTTATCCAGAAAACGAGTTTCCATCCAGGTCAACGACGCGCAACGGTTTTTGGAGATTTTTTACTAGCCGTTTTTTGATAAGTAGAATTCTTGCAAATATCTCGGAAACGGAGCATTTCTGGACTCAAAACGCAAGTTTTGAATGAAACAGAAAGTACAGTTTTAAGTCTTTAGATTGTTATCTCATACGCACTCTTTTGTCGAAATGTTTCCTTTCTGCATAATGGTGGCTGAATTTCGTTGATCCATCGTTTAGTTTCCTCTTGTAATGCACAAGTGCTTGTGGGCTTGTTGACACAGACCGTTGACTTTAAATAACCCTATAAGAAGAAATCTAATGATGTTAAATTACACGATCTGGGGGACAACTCTGATCATCGAAATAAGAAAGGATACGAGCTAAATCTTAAAGTCTGTTTTTGTTTTTCTTATTTTATTAATAGACTTCCTGCGTCTCTCCATCATGAGCAACTCTAGATAGCAATTTCTTCTTACTACAAATTAAGCCTCCTGTTAGGAGATGTTTTTGGAGGTTATGACCTTGAAAACCTTACTTCTTAGATACAATTTGCTCATTAGTCAGCTGAACTGAGGTGAATACTCATAATGCACACTTGTATTACCTGGTGAAACGTTACTGTCACGTGACACGAGGATTTTGTATCAGCATGTCCAGAAATAAATCTTCTTAGCATGTGAGCAAACAGATATCCGTTATGTGAACATGATTTGAAGATATTTCCGTATATTCTTATATCGCATATTCTTTGAACGTTCGTCAAAAAAAAAAATGCTTCAAAGAAATGCGAATAGCTTATGCTCAGAATATGCTCTATTAGGATATGTATTTTAGGATCTAAAAAGCGTACATTCCAAGAATGTGAATATACCTTTTTATGTTTACTGTGTACTCACTCCACTCCAAAATTCATTGAGTCCAGCCAATGATCACTTAAACTACTAGGCTCAAAAGTTCTGGGAATCCCACGTGTTGGCCTCGACGTTGCGTTGAGAAAAATTGCTGGGTTATGTCATATCAAACAGTATAGCTTACATATTTACATAAGTTTAGAAGTGCTTAGTTATATAATATATTCTCTTTTTCAAAATATACTAAGTGACATATAAATCCCAACACCCAGTTTAAATGGTTTTATTTTAATAAAATTTTGTATAAGTACTTAATGAAGCATAATAAGTAAATGATAAAAATTTCAAAATGATTGCACTGCTTTAAAGCCCTTTGACCTTTAATAATGTGTGGATGCACCCTGATGTGCTACGCATTCACCAACGCGCCTAGGCATGCTTCTGATCAGGTGGTCAATGTCCTCCTGTGGTATCTCATTCCAGGCAACCACCAACTCCTCTCGAAGTGCTTCTAGAGTCTGAGGAGACGTTGCAAATTGAGCAATCTCCTACCCATCATATCCCACACGTGCTCAATTGGGGATAAGTCGGGAGATCTTGGTGGCCATGGTAACAATGTGACATCATTATGTTGAAAGAAGTCTATTGTGACTCTTGCAACATGTGGTCGGGCATTATCTTGTTGGAAAGTTGGATCTGCCGGGTGTCAAGATAGGGTAAAAGATGGGGTTCTAGAACTTCGTGGATATAACGCTGCGTGTTCATGTTACCTCTGATGAAGATTAAAGGTGACCTGGAACCATAAGCTATAGCACCCCAAACCATAACTCCAACAGTGTGATGAACATGTCTTTCAACAAAAAACTGTGGATTCATCCTTTCACCACGTCGCCTTCTAACCCTGGGACGACCATCGTGCATGCCTAAACAAAATCGTGACTCGTCACTAAAGACAATACTGTTCCATTCCTGATCCCAGAGTGACCGTTGTCTGCACCACTCAAGGCGATTACGTCCGTCGGTGTTCTCGAGTTAAAGGGAGGTCCCAGTTTGGCCGGTATGAAAACAAGCCAAAACTTCTCATTCGTCGGTAAACACTTCGCATGCCAATAGGTCTTCCGTGTTCTGCAAACCATTTATTTGCAATGGACCTGGTAGTGGAGAAACGGTCCCTTAAGGCCAATAATCTTAGGCGGCGATCTTCACGGTCTGTTGTTCTACGGCGGCGTCCAGTGCCCCTTGCTCTTTGCGTACGGCCTTCTCGAAGCCATGCCTGACAACACCTAACCACAGTGTCTACACTTCTTTGCACTCTAACTGCAATTGCCCGAAAAGAAAGTCCAGCTTCCCGAAGTCCCACTATACGGCCCCTATCAAACTCACTAAGTTGACGAAATCGTACAGGTCTCCATACTCTAGGCATCGTAACCGATCGTAAAGGATGTCAAGAACCAAAATCCGACAACGTTGATTCTTTACTGCGGCTGAAATATTCATTTTTAGAGCGTTAGTGAATTAAAAAAAGCAGTATAAAAACCAGAATGTCCAACTGATAAGGCTGAACATTTTTTCACTTGTTATTTACAGTAAGATAAATACATTCACTAACTTTTATTAAAATAAAACCATTTAAACTGGGTGTTCGGATTTATACATATGTCACTTAGTATATATAATAAAATATGAGAGATAAAAGAAGAAGTGGTGTTTGGTTGTATTTCAATGCAACTGATTCAAATAAAGCAAAGTGTGACATTTGCAAAAATGTCTTATCCTATAAAGGTGGTGCAACCTGCAATTTGAGGAAACATTTGAGGGCGAAGCATTTTGCGGTAATAACGCAAGATCTTCCGTCTCCTTCGTCTCTAAGAACATCTGCGGAGTTGGAGGAAATACCCGGACCATCAACTTTTTCTACACCTTTGGAAGTCACCACAGGAAGTTCGGCTTATGACGCCACAAAAAAAATTGATCAGGACAAAAGACGAATGCCTTTTCCCACATCAAAACAATCTAAAAAATATCGACTTTTGCTTCGCGACCAATGTCTATTCCGCGTACTAAGAACCTGCATATAAAAGTTTTAAACATGATTATAAAAGACATGCAGCCATTTACAATTGTTGAAGATGAAGGGTTCAGAGAATTGTTAGAAGAGTTTGATCCTGCTTATAAACTTCCTTCAAGAAAAACTTTAAGCAACAGTTTGTTGCCCCAAACATATGATGAAGTTGTTCAGAAAGTAAAGAATTTACTAAAAAATTCGGAGTATTTGACGATTACGACAGATACTTGGACATGCACAGCTGTTGAAAATTATTTGGGCATAACCGTACATTATTTTTCTGTCACTCTCTGTCTACACTACAGTATGTATAAATAGTCAGATTGTCAGTATTTATTACAGTATTCGATACATTTATCAAAAAGTATCGGATACTTCTGACTTCGGAAAGTATCGGATCTTTTGTATCGGATAGATACTTTTTGCCCACCACTATAATACACACATGCAGGAAAAAATGACGGCTATCGAGAAAAATAGCTTAAAGATCAAAGCTCTCAATGGTGAATACGTTTTTCCAAATAAACAATTCCTTGTGCCTCAAAAAAATGCGGGAACCATATTTTTGAAACAACCCTCGTATATAGACATCAAAAAGAACCGCCTAATCGAGCTTGCCAATACATTGCTTCTAAAAAGTAACCGACAAAGCGCATCAAACATTTTTGACTGAATCACATTTTGTTTTGATGTCAAAAAGCCGGCTACTTATTCCGACAGCATCAACCCTCTGCACTTTACCACAGCTGAGCCCAATAAGACCATCGAAAGGCGGTCACGTGATCTTAGAGCAGTCTCAGTCTGCCAGTTGGCCGGTTCTTGTTTATTTTCAGTCTGTCTTTCGCTATCGAGCTTTCGCTGCGCGTCGCGCTTTACGTGCGTGGATCGCTCCCGGTCGTTTACCGCGGTTTCAGTGACACTTTTCCGATTATAAAGAAAAATCAATCCGCTTCAGTTTGATAACGATTTACGATGTGAACGGTCGCGTTTCACCGGACCCGTCATTTCCGATCCGATAACGACAATCTTCCGTTTGATGTGTGTGCTTTGCGTTATGAAATTACGAGCTTAGGATAGAGTTGCACAGGAGAGATAACTAGGTGAAGTTTCCAGTTTGTGTGTATGAAGTGACGTTTGCCAGGCGAAAGCGAAATGTTGGGAGTACTGAAAAGACGCTGGAAGCCTAAAAGGTAAGTGCTGAGAGTGATAAAATTAGCGGCAACCTTGGCGCACGAAAATAGATCCAAATATCAACACGTGTCCCAGCAATGCTTTCAATCAGCTGATTGATCTGACAATCTGCAATCCATT